AAAAGAGACGCCTGTTATACGGGGTTGTACAGTCGATCCTGCTGTATGCTGAGCCTGTGTGGGAAAACGCGATGAGGATTGACACCTACAGAAGAATGATAACTGCATCGCAAAGGAAAATGATACTCAGAACGGTTTCGGCATACAGGACGGTGTCGGCAGAGGCTCTGTGCTATCGCCGGGATACCCCCAATTGACCTTTTGGTGCAGGAAAGGGGACGAATTGATGAAGCCAATCTTGAAGTCACTGCCCTTAAAAAACGTGAAAGACTCAGAACCATTGAGGAGTGGCAGTTAAGATGGGATAGAAATAACGATAAAGCCCAATGGACCAAAAGACTGATCCCACATCTGGGATCGTGGACGGAGTGTAGGCACAGAAGAACAGAATATTTTCTCACCCAGTTTCTCTCAGGACACGGTTCTTTCAGGGTCTATACAAACAGAATTGGTAAGGCTAATGACAATCTGTGTATATACCGCAAAAACGTAGACAGCGCAGAACACACTATATTCGAATGCCATAAGTGGGCAAGCGATACACACAGGTTCGAAGTGGATGCTGGGAGGTGCCTGACAACAGATAACATCATACAATATATGTTAGGATCAACGGCGAATTGGAAATTGACCGCAAACTATGTTTGTACTATTATGAAGAAGAAGGAGACGGATGAAAGGGAGTCCCAGGCCGAGGAGAGAAGGAGACAGGACCAGCGCTAAGTCAGTTTTAGTTTTCACTATATATGCCGCTCATACCTGAGTATATCCGTGAGGACAGTTCCGGGTATGAGGGAAGGCAAGGGGTGGTTTTAGCCGGTACAAGCCCGGCACTACTGGTTTCGCGATGGATACCAAGCGATCAGTGCCCATGGGGGTTTCCACCCCACCAAAAAAAAAAGGTTAGGTTAGGTTAGGTTAGGTTAGGTTAGATTCGGGGATGAGTTGTTATTATAACTATAGGTTACGTCAGGTTAGGTTAGGTTAGGTTAGGTTGATAAATGCGTGTACTGTGGTTTGAGGGACACGCCAGAACATACCATCTTTGTGTGTGACAGGTGGGCTCGGGAACGCCTTCAGGTAGAAATTCAATTGGGAACGGCGATTACGGTCAGAGAAATCATGAACATCATGATTGAAAAACTGCACAACTGGAATGTATTACACAGTAACATGAGGAAAATTATGTCTTAAAAGGAAAACGAAGAACGAAGAAGGCAAGGGATCTGATTTCTGATGATTTTAACAGTCTGCCAGTCTAACCCGAAGTATGTCAACACTGACTTTGATTCCGGGGTAGACAAACGTGGCGAAAAGGGGGAGTTTTAATGGCTGCACCACTCACTCGCAGAGCCGGTCTGGAGTGTTCGAAGGTCTTTCTCCCCCCACCAAAAAAAAAAGTTAGGTTAGGTTAGATTAGGTTAGGTTAGGTTAAGTTAGGTTAGGTTAGGTTAGGTTGTTGTCAGTATTGAAATTTGGGACACTGTTTACAAAATTGGAGTTGATCTGATTGGCGTCATTTGAATTTTTTGGGATTACAACGTAAGGTTTTCTGCTCGTAATATTCAGGTTTCTCAGCTTTCTCCATTGTTGCTTCTGGTTTTTATTGGCATCAACACGGTTAAAATAAACTTCTTTTTCATCATTCATAGAAGTGTTGGTAATGTTTCAGATATTTTTATAATGACGAAAATTGTCCTCTGAATAAGTTTGCTTGTATTTCAGTTTTGCTTCGACTCTGAGGTTCATTAATTCTCTGAGAGTATGGTTCAATCACGGAGAAGGTGCTTTTGTCAATTTTACCATCCGCAATGGGGCATGACGATCAATTACTGTTAGGATAGATTCATTGAGTTTTTTCTGTGGTCCGTTATATCAAAAACTATGACTCCAGAATTGGATATGAGTTCTGTTCGTGTAACCATTATTCAATCTATCAGTATCGAACTTTTCTCACACACTCTTGTTGATGAGTTTATGATTTGCGATAGCTCGTGATCGCTCATAAGTATACAGGCTTTCACTGCCGAAGTGACGATTAGAGAGAACATAATCCGGGCTGGTAAACCGACTGAACTTGTTTTAATGAATAATCTAAAGAAACAATTCGTTCAGATCAGTCTCGACTCATATATATAGTGGGATGATGGACTGACACCCTGGTTCATACCACGAAGGGCGTTGAATTATATCCTACTGGTGTCAGTCAAGGATTCTTCACCTAATCAATTTCTTCATATGCTGTTGGCGATACAACTGCCGGAATCGGTTGTCAATTATTTGTTTCCTCTGTTTTTCGAATAGTAAATAGTACTAAATGTTCATTATGTGCGCAGAACGCTAACAGAGCGCTCAAACGAAATTTTGTGATTTAGATATGATCTACCACACCTTGTATGGACGCGTTTAAAATACTTTGCCAAAACAACTTATTCATGTATGGCAAAAGAGGTCACAAACAGGCCTCAACCCCTGCCGGGCTGAGTGCCCTGAGTTGAAATTTTCTCCACACTGTTACTGTGTGCAGAACATTTCATCACGTACATACACCCCTGCTCCTCCGGAGCTGTCCTCAACTTACTGATGGGCACTTCAGCAAGATTGACATCCTGTGTTGGGAATCACACGTTGAAAGGTAAGACCTCGTTAGTCCTTAGCTGGCACAAGTTTCGAATTCTGAGGGTTGTCGTTCGTAGGGGTGCGACAGCTGGTTAACGGAAAAACAGATTTTGAACAGACATAGTTTTTTAAACATCTGACCTCTTTTAGTCAAAAGATGCTTGTACTTTCTAATCTGGTGTTTGATTTTATCATGGCTTTCCTAACTGAATTTCTGCATGGTGTCCTCCAAAAACTATCCAAAGACGAGTGTCTAGTCGCGAGCAAGTGTTGGTTCTCAGTGAATCTGAAAATGAGATCAACGACTGGATCTGTCTTCTGTTGTCACTGGCTGTAGTCCCAGGCATTGCAGGCATACAGGATTATTGGTAATATTACGGTCTCCATCATCAGCAGCTTCACTTTCAACCCCATGTTACTTCTTCAACCTTTTATTGGTAGGTTTTGTCAGGCAGATCTCGCCATTTCTATTTTCTGACGTACGTGAGACCTGAACGTTAATCTTTTGTTTAGGTTGACTCCCAGGTATCTAGCTTCGTTGGTCCACGGAATCTCTTTTCCGTTGAAGATGACGATTCCTTCCGGGTGAACAGTATCCCCTGACTCTTGTCAGGGTTCATACTGATCTTTCACAGGTTGGCCCATTCTTCTAATCTATCTGCCTGTTGCTGCAAATATCTGATGACGTGCGCTTGGCTTGTTGATCTCGCCAGTAGAGCTGTGTCGTTCGCGTAGAGTGCCAACTTGGTTGACTTGTTCTCCGCCTTGGGCACGTCTGCTGTATATACCAAGAAGAGGTGTGGCGAAAGGACTGCACCTTGTGAAACCCCTGCTTCCAGTAATCGCATCGTTGGGAATTCTTGTCCTACTCTGCAGCGGCATCGCCTGTCAGCTAAAAAAGACTCGATTAATCTCACCATTGGTTTCGTGTAGCCAAAATTGATCATTTTGGCCAGCAGTCCATCATGCCAGACTCTGTTTGCAGCCTTCCGTGACGGAGTCTGCTACCTTCAGGACTTCAACTCCGTCGAGTGTTCTGATCTGAAACCGAACTGTTCGTGTAGAAGAATTCCTAGTTCGTTGGTTTGGTGCTGTTATCTGTCCAGGATGACACGTTCTGCCACTTTGCTTCAGGTAGAGATTAAGCTGATTGGCCTGTGGATATCTGGAAATAGGTGGTTCTTCTTTGGCTCCAAGATATAGATGACCGTCGCCTCCTTAAATGGGTACGGAAAGTGCTGCACGCTGAGTATAGCATTTATGATGTTTGTTATAGCTGCTATAACCTTTCATGGTAGGAATTTCAGAGCCCGATTTGTTATTTGGTCTAGGCCTGGGGCTTTCCAAGTAGCTAGACGTCTTAGATATCTTCCACTTCCTCGGGAGATGTTGGTGCCGGGGGTTGCGCGTTGTTCCTTCTCTGTCTTCTGAGTCTACGTACCGTTGTTTCCATCTGTGCCTCAATTTCTTCTACTTCGTCGGTGAACGGGACGTCGTTCTCTCTATACTGCCTTTCGAAATTGTCCGCGAAAGCTTCCGCTTTCTCTTGGTCCGTGTAAACGATTCCTTGCTCGCCGTGTATTGGTGGGCATGATTTTTGAGGTCCCGTCCTGAAAGTTCTCTGCATTTTCCATGCAGATGTATCTTCGGTGTTTACTTCTTCCAGATGGGTTGTCTATTATTGATCCCTGATTGCTTCTTGCATTATCCTGCCGGCTCTTTGCATACATCTTTTGTTCATTGGTGGGCGAGTCCATAGAAATCGTCTTTCTAGGCGTCTTCTGATTCCAATGAGCTCCATTGTTTCTGGTGGAAGATGCTCTTAATTGAACTTTCTGGTACTACCGAATGAAATGTTTCCAAATTATATATTTTCCATCGTCCTTGTGCTCTTAGTCCTGAAATACATACATAAATAAATGAATGCTGATACTCATATATTGCTCGCAATAAATGGAAATATATTCTGTTGACCAATGAAATTCATTGAGTGTTTTTCCAAATTTGGTACTATTATCTGAAACAATCAATCATATCAAGTAGTGCACCTATCAGTGATTAGGATATATCTTTTAAAATAATCCCCGACATTTTGTTATAGTATAAATAGATTTCGGTCTCATACATTGAAGCACTATTCTGAAATTAGTACATCGAAACAGTGACTAATATATTTCTTATAGAACTGAGACAAATCTGAGAAAATGAACGGTTACTTGATAAAAGTAGTTGCGTGAACGCAAGTGAAACATAAGTGGAACCACCTATTAGTGTGTCAACTTGCCAAGTTTTTATGTCAGAGTTGGTGGTTTGAAGTCAATATGGAAATGATCAAGGAGTACTATTGAGCTTCTTGAGATACGCCACAATGAAATGTAACAATGTTAATTTAATAAATGAATTTTCAGGCCATCGGTGACGTGGAAATTACTATATATTATAGTACTCTCAGTCCGCAAGTCGCAGAATTCTTCAACGTACAAGTTCGAAAACTCTACAACAATTTGGCACCGTACTTCAGTCTCGAATTGGTACCGAATGGAATGTGCGATGTAAGTAAAAAAATATAATAGAAAAAACTTTTCAAAAACGAAATGGTAGTCTGTGAGAATGATGAAATATAATCCGAAAATGAAAATGGTCTACCTGTACAGGGTATCTCAACAGTCACGGATCAAACAGAAGAAAGAGGGGGATTACATTTTTTCAAAAGGAACACCCTATATTTCATTATGCATTCCGATTCGTAATAACATTCTCAACAACAGATCTCAAATAACATTTCTTCCTTAAGTTGAAAATAAACGACTGATGTGGAAATATGTATTTTTTCCACTAGTACAAAAAAATCTCTTGTTGGACACATATTTGGCTCTTCTCTCGACACTACGTGTTGACCTCAACACAATTCGGTCATCAATTTTATTAATTTCAGTTTCAATATAACTTTTCAGTTCATCTATGTTATTACGTTCAATTTTGTGCACCTCATTTTCCAGAAATCCACAAAAATGAAAATCTAGAGGTGTCACGTCAGGTGAACGAGGAGGTCACCTAACAGGACCATTTGTAGCAATCCATCTATTTTTGAAATAGTCTCGCAACACTCTTTTTACGCCACTGAAATAATGTGCTGGTGCTCCATCCTGCTGAAAATAGATCATCCAACGAGCCTCCAGATCAAAATCATCGAAAAACTCATCCAACACTCCTGTTAATAAATTGATGAAATGAGGTCCGTTCAAAGAACCATTGTAGAGAAATGGACCAACAATTCTGCGTCTAAATAAACCACATCAAACATTAATACCGAATCGTCTTTGCAAATTCTGGAGATGGGCTACAAAATGGATTATGTCTACTCCTATAATAAAAATGCATTCTATTATACATCTCACAATTTGGAAATTTAGCCCCATCGTCCTATAAATATTTTTATAGAAGGTTGGGTTTTGTCTGCATTCATTCATAAACCACCGACAAAAACCCAATCGTCTCTCAAGGTCACCAGATTCCAGTCTTTGCACTAGTCTTAACTTATTAGGAGAGTAGGCGCGAACTTCAATTTCTGTATATTCAGATATAAAGAAACCTTTTTAATTTTTACCCTTCTCAAAAACGTTTTCATTGTTCCTGAATTGACGATGAAGCACAGCAAAAAATGCCGAGTAGGTAACTCACGATCGGGGAACGAATTACTGTAGTGTTGGAGTGCTCTTACCCTATTTTTTAGCAAACCAGCTAGGATTCTATCATATCACATTCTTCTTGATGGGAAAATGGCATTTCGAAAAATATTCGTCTACCTGTAAGATAATTCTCGAACCATTTATGAGTAATTCCTCAAATATCAGAAACAAACGAGGCTACCAAAAGCGTCCTTTCAAAAATAAAGTAACATTCTGTTGCAGGAATCAACATGAAGATGACAATCACCCGAAAACCGTTTCATTTGAAATGTTATTTTAGGGATACCTCGCATAAGTTCCTCAATATCAGTTTGGTGTATTTCTGAGAACTTCAAAAACTTGTTTTTATCGATTTTCTTCTGGCATTTTCACCTGACACAATGCTAATGTTTTGTTTCATAAAACAAAAACAACGAAGAAACCGCCTTATTTTTATAATAAAATAACATACAGAACTGATATACACAACGTAAATATTAGGCATAAGCATGCCTTAACCCCTCCCTAGTTTAGAACTGAGTTTTTCAAGAGATCGTTCACATATCAAATTTGAAAATTATATAATGCTTTACCGTATCAAATTGAATTCAATATAATTTCAAACATCAAAGACATCATAAAAAATCATCTTCTCCTGCAATAGATTTTATGATCAGGTCAGATAGATCACCCAAGTTTAATCAGTAGTTGCCCTTATTCTTTAATTAACTTTAACTTTACGTATATACAAATATATATATATTTTTTCGTTTGAACTTCTACTCTGAAAAGAGATATTCGAAGAGGTATTTCGAGATTAAGTGGAAGAACAGGTTATTTTTATTGCGATGAAAATAAACTGAACTTCGCCTTTTATTTTCCTGTAATAAAAAGTTTCATTGTATACAAACTGTTAACTATCTGATAATGGAGATAATACAAACGAATTATTATTATGATCATTATTATTATAAGTTACTGCGTAAATTCAAAGTATTTTTCACAAAGAAAAATGTTTTGTTCATCAGTAACTTGTCGTATTTAACAATTTCAACTAACAAAAAGAAGAGCTCAGAAATCAAACTATACTTGTCTCAACGTTTCGGAGGCTAAAATTAACCTTCTTCATTGGAAATGAATGAAACTTAGGTTTATACGCAGTTTTCCATCTGCTGTTTATTTTTATTCCACAGTTTCTGTGACAGAAGTAAATTATGTCAATGTTGTACATTTTTGAAGACGGATCGGATTTCAGCTTCCCAAACACTGATATACTCAAGTATCGCATAATTTTATATTTTTCTTATAGCAGATATATTGAATACGACAAGCTTATGATGAGTGGAACTTTTTTCTTCATGTAAAATACTTTGAATTGCCGCAGTTACTTATCGACGTAAACTAGAAAGTTTGACCTTTCTACACGTGTATAAACCTCTCCGTTATAGAATGTTGACGGTCAAAATACTCAAAGGAGTTCGAAAAAGAACTAATTCTCCTTCACAAAATATAAGTTTCGTTCAATATGCAGAAACCTATAATTAAAAAATATAAGAACTGATCCGAATGAATTTTGTAATTTTGTATCATACCAAATTCATGAATCCACAATCAGAACAAAATATATCCTTATAATTTTCACACATTCATATGCTCGTTTGAACATATAACTGTTGGTCAAGCCCTGCATTCAGCTGAATAACACATTCGATTCCTGATTTCAGCTGAAAATAAGCTTGTATCCACCAAGTTTCGGTTTGGAATGTCCACGTGGCAAGAAAGAACTACGTGTCAGTGAAGTCCACTCTTGTGCAGTAAATCTATATTCGGAAAAGGTTAGTCTTGAATTTGTTCTGTGCTCGATGGGATCGGATCCGTCCAATGACGAAGATTTCAAAAAGGTGAGAAACGTCGACTATGAATTCAGTGATCAGTATATTGACCAAACTGTTCGAGAATAAGTTTCATCAACAATAAGTAAGATGAAACTATTTCAATAATTTCTTCAGAAAATTATATTTCCCGAACAGGCATATCAAAACGTGAAAAACAAATCTTATTCGTATCCACTATACGGAATATTGTGATTCTAAAATGAAATAACTTTTGAATTAATTTCAGTGTGCTGAGAGTGTTGGAATGTCCTGGAAAGAGCTGAAAACTTGCTTCGAAGACGTATATGGAATTTTATATCAAGGTGTGAGTTATTTAAAAACTAAGGGTAACAACCCCTTCATAACGAGTGATCCTACTGTTTTCTTCAATGGATACTTCAATAGAACATTACAATATGATGCCATCACTAATTTACAAGGATTAGTGTGTGAATTTTTGAATAACGAACCAGACGCTTGCAAAGAATGATTTCATGCTGTTTGACTTTCCTGATGAATCATCATCTTTTAAAGAGGAATTAAATGTCGATGTTGAAATTTATTCATTATTGTTTTATTTACACCATAGAGTTCGGGATCGTTTACAAGGATTAGTGTGTGAATTTTTGAATAACGAACCAGACGCTTGCAAAGAATGATTTCATGCTGTTTGACTTTCCTGATGAATCATCATCTTTTAAAGAGGAATTAAATGTCGATGTTGAANTCCTTCCGAGTTCATGAACGAATAACAGAGACTCCGGGCCATAAACACCAAAAGTTTCAACCGCTACTGGATGGAACAGATAGTTGTTTCCAAGATTTTGGTATTTTTTCCTTTTCAATTTCTCGCCAGACAATGCTGCAGTTCCAGCAGACTTGGAACTTTCGGCTAGATGGGAAGCCGCGACCGTGTCAACGCAAGTAAAGTCCCATACCACATACCTGAAAGAATTAAAAAGAATTAAAAATGAATAACTGAAAATAACAATCATATTGAGCAAAAAACCTGAAATGAAATAATAGTGAAATGAAATACAAGTAAAAATAGAACAATTGAAGAAAAAAATCGAAATAAAAATAAAAAATAAAAAGTTAAGAGATTCCAAGCCAAGTCAGTTCACGACGTTTCGATTGTTAGTATCCACAATCGTCTTCAGGTGATAACTAGACTGATTCTTCCGAGAGATGACTATTTATGGATCATTCGGGTACTTTCACTTATCCCCGCTTTCCATTCTTTCGCTTCCCTGGTTTAGTGGGAGATGGCCGTTTGGCGGGAGTTGGACAGTTTTCGCTTGATGATGGGTTTCCATATGTTGCGTATCTCTACGCTAGCTTGGATGAATACGTTGTTGGACATCATGTATGCGGCTTCCTTGAATTTTTTCCTAAACCAATGTTCATCTCTGTGTATGATCTCAGTTTGGGACCACTCGATGTTGTGTTGATGGGTCCAAACATGCTCTGCTATTCCTATTTATCCGACCAAACGAAATTAATTTCTGCTTTTCATAGTGAGAAATAACTTGCGAAGAATCTTCCAAATCGAAGACGTTGCACCTGTGTCTGATGGTTTAACTTCAACTCTCTGCGCGGCATTAGTTGGGTTAGTTGTTGTTTTTCCGGTGCAGTTATGGTGCAACTGTTCTCTTTTGTTTCACACTCGAACATAAATTTACAAACGAACGATTTTCAAATTGAATCACAGGACAACTGTCAGTGTCAATTGTTTGTTATCTCTCTCTGTGGTCTGCAGCCACATGGCTTTTANGACCAATCCATCTTTTCACTTGAAGAATTTGAATATACTCAGAAAGGTTAATGCAGTCAAGCTGCTGGAAAATAATTCCATGAAAATCAAAAAATAAATAGATAAGTACTTTTTGATCATTCCCATATTGATTTCAATTTAAGAGCCACCGATAGACAGCTGTTTCAGCCTATTGGGCATCGTCAGTACCGGGCAGGCGATCCGCGATTGAAGGCAAAATGAGAAAAACCAAGGAAGTACTTGATGATATCCACGTCAACTTGTCAAGTTTTCATTATACAGTGTCACACATAAAGTCCGCATCAAATGGGTTTTTTTTTGTTCATCTCTTCAAGCAACTTTTGATATCTCCATTAGGTTGTGCTTTGAAAATAATGCCAACTGACATGCATATGACCGATCGAGTGATTTTTCTTCCCTGTCCAATTTGACATTTTTTCCAAAAAATGTTCAGAAAAGCAGTTATTGCTCAAAATTTCTAAAATCGGTAAAGAGAAAAGATGATTGTTATTTTCATTTTTCACCCATTTACCAATTCTTAGCTCTCTAGTACAAATCAAGTTTTTTTACAGTTTTTCGAAAATTTGACATTTGCCGATTTCTCAAACTCAGCCAAACCTCAACAAAGTTAGTGCTTTATGCCTAACTTATCTTTCCAACTCATTTTTATTACCAATCGCAATTCTAAATACAACTTATTTCGCAAAAATTTAAAACACCAGAAAAAATTATGCCAAAAATGATGCAAAGTTGATACAGTTTTTAAAAACAGATAAATATTTCACTTCATTTCTACTTTTTGCGAATTAGCTTGATACATAAGCATAATTAAAAAACAATATCAATGAAAAGTCAATAATTTATTCTTTACTGCACTTTTCAAACAGTTAAACTTAACTGAATAAACAAAATATTTTATTGTCATATGACATTTGTTGAATAACTCAAAATAGTGTTCATCAGTTTTAGATTTCAAATAGTTTATTCGTTGTCTAGTGTGTTGTTCAAAATGCTGAATCTTCAAGAGAAAATTTAAATCGTTTTAATATACGGCGAGAATACCGGTCACCGACAAGTAACTGATATTTTCAATGCCAGACATCCTGCAAGAAATATTCATCAGTCAACAGTTAGTAGGATAATAGCTAAGTTTAAATCTACTGGCTCCGTTGAGAGTAATTTTAGAAAAGCACATCAGCCTCCTAGACATACTGAAGAAGTGGAATTTGAAATATGTTTGGATGTCGTAGAACATAAAAAAACAAGTATTCAAGATATTGCGGATAGAACAGATGTTAACTGAGAGAGTGTAAGACGTATTTTTCACAAAAATAAATTCACGCCTTATAAACCGAAATTTATCAATACATTGAAAGAAAGGGACTTCGATATGCACTTTTATTTTTCTTTTTGGTTTCAAGGGGAAAAAGAAGAAAATTATCATTTTCCTTATCAAATTTTATGGACAGATGAAGCGACCCTCTCTTCAAATGGCGTTGTGAGCTCGCAAAACTGCGGGTGGTGGGCCAAAGAAAATCCACATTTCGTAATCGAATGTCGAGATCAATATTCGTTCAAGACGAATGTATGGTGTGGCATATTAAACGGTCAAATTATAGGACCATACTTTTTTAGAAAAAAATCGAATTCTGCGGACTACCTACACTTTGTGAATACCGAACTATCTGAAGTTTTGGATAATATGCCCCTTCAAGTAATAAATGTTGTGTGGTATCAGTG